GGCCACCTTGGGAAATAAGGGAGAGTTGTGGAGTAGGCAATAAGCAGGCAAGAGACTATAAAAGAGGAAAGGTATTGAGTTTAGACCGCTCATGGAAATGGAAAGATAAGCCAATCGCTGTCGGAATCGTAATTTGTGGTGAAACATTCCTATCAATGGACTTTGTTTGTTGAAGAGAATTTCAAGGGCGCCAGCCGCCCATCGCCGCCGCTGGATCATCGCCTCCAGTCCTAGTGGTGGCATAGAACCTAGAAACGCTGGTTGATCCAAATAAATGCATGAGCTAGTCCATCCTCTCGAATGGATTCCAATACTCGTGTTTATGTCTTCCGTGATTGAATCGTATAACCAACCAATCTGCACGAGTTAAATATGTTAAAAAGTACATAGCTATATATGGACCAAATTCCCGGAATTTTTTTAATTAACAAAAAAACACGCATATCATTATTGTGTAAATACTGCTGTTTTTGGTTTTAGACTATAATGATTAAATTTAGAAGGGAATTACGGTTTTGCCCCAGCTGGTTTGGTACTCGTAGTGAAAATTTCCAACTTCTTTGGCCGCTTCTATGGAGTTTATAAGAGCGTTTTGGAGATTTGATTTTCTTTGTAATGACTCGACCACCGATTTCACCATTTCTTTAGAATTTCCAAATTCTCTCGCTAAACTCTCTTCAGTCAAAATTTCCCCTTGATGAAATAACAGGAGCCGTGAAGATTTGATATATGAATAGTAAAATAACTGGAAGTAATGAATTGCATGTAGAATAACAAAAATATAATGAATTGTGTGTTAGTTGAATAATAAAACATGTATCAGAATGTTAGAATAATTTAACATAATTAATAACTTGTATATTTTCATCATATATACTGACGCAATGTACACACACATATTACAAAAGATTTGACCTAGCTACTTGCCCTAAAACGCTTAGTAAAATAAGGATGAAAATATTATACAGAGTAATGAACTTTATAATAATAAATTAATTTGTGATCTCCTAGACTTACGGGATTGTAATTCCCTTCAAAAAAATTGGTTTGAATAAATGCATGAAATAATGTTTTGAAGAATTATGCGAAAGTGTGATATACAAACAATCTCTTATGATTTTTGCAAGTATATATAGTACTTACTTGTAGCAACTGAAGAAAGACTTCCATCGTCTTCTAAGTCGTCCGGAGATAAACCGTACATAACTCTTCTAGTGTGGAAGCATCCCGACCCTACATACATCGGTCCTTGGATTCCTCCAATTCCTCGTTCAAGATGCTAATTTCCACAGTATTAAAAACCCCCAATGATTTAAATACTGATTGATAAATTAACATTCGAATT